CTCAATGAAAACGAACGCCGCATCTACGTGGCCCAGGTCCCCAAGTACAAGAGAATAGAGCAGAGGCGACAGCATCGAACCGTTAGTCAGATTCGGAAACGCGTACGACAGCCCACGCCAGAACAAAAGACCCAGACAACCAGCTCAGGATTCGTGATGACTCGGGACTATATCGAGCAGTACAATACGACGTGGCTAGATCAGGAATTGGCGGGCAGTGCGAAAGCCGAAGTTTGTCATGGAAAGCTGTGCTGCCACTTCGAGTTGGAGTGGAGCCCAATAGATACCGAAATAGGAAATAAAAACAAATTCGGCTATCGCCTAGGTGCCTACGATGGCTGGCGAAATCAGCCAAATGTAGACCCCAACTATATTCGCAACTGCGGAATCTTCGCCTGCAGCGGAGTTACTCTGGACGATTGTGGATACATGTTGAGCCCAGATCAACTACGCCTCAACCTTAGCCGAATACTCATTGAGGCCAAATTTCCCAAGAGTCAAGAGATTCTGCTGATGCCAAACAGTGTAAGGGATAATCTACTGCCCCTCGAGCCATCGCAGTTCGAGTGGTCCGTTCAGGAGGAGGAAAAGAGGTGAGTTAATATAGGAGCTGTTGATCCAGATTTCTTTTGATACTGAATCCTTACTTGATCTTCTTTTCAGTCATATGTTGACTGCTCGCTTTGCACTCGCTAAAACCGAGTCGTTGTCCAACCTGTTGTCCTTCGCTATATTCGGAAATTACTACGATGAAGTCTGTACCTATGGCTCGGGCTCGCCGGAAAAGGATCTTGAATGTGGCTATGAGCCCACTGGCGATGGCGCTGCTCAGCTGCGACTATTCGGCAGTTCGTTGTATTTGCTGCTGGCTATGGGCACCGTATTCTATCTTAGACATTAATGAGCTTATTATTGTTATTGGTTTTTTTTTTTTTTTTTGGACGAACAGACCTCTTTAAAGTCTAAGATTGATTTCAAGATTTGGAATGTATATAGCTTGATATGTATGAATAGGCTTAATCAAGAAAAGGGAAAGAAGTTAAGTCTTGGGATAGGTCTTTAGTATAATAATCTTTCCATAGAGAACTTTATACTTTCTGCTTTATACACCGTTAATAAAATATATGTGGCTCGATTTGAACAAAGACTGTACTTTGCTTGCAATGAGCTATAGATAAAGGTATTGAGGTCTTTTTATTATTTGGCAAACTACAGTCATAAACTCCCAATATCGCAGCTCTAGGTTTTTATCTTTGACTTTCCATGTCATGCATGGTTAGGCTAGGCGTGATAAGAAGAATTATACAAATTGTAAGTCATTAATATTTTATCAGATTTTCAACGAAATTTGAAAATATTGATTTTTGAATCACTTCAATTACACCCGTCTATACTTGTGTATGAATGCTTCGATCTCAGAACCTACAAGAGTCATAGACTTGGTATTTGCTTTTTTTATGTACTGATTTCATATGCACTGAACGCGTTTCCACTGAACCCCATCGATATTAAGTCTAAATATTATTTTATGTGGAAGATAACAGATAATAGGGGCTCAGCTGTGGGAGACTTTAGTTGGGTTCAGAACTTTCAGTGGAGCACGCTGCCATGTAATGTGACACCGACAGTTAGTTACCCCAGTAAATGAGAGTAAATATAGGAAGGTAACTTACGAGAGTTGGCACCAAAAATCAGCGACATTACGAGCATCACAACACAATAGATGCTTCACAACACACTTTGCAAGTTCGACTGTCGTGCGCTCAGTTCACTTCTTAGGACTTCACTGAACAATTTTTGAATGATGTGTCACTGTGCCTTAGCTATTCCGAGCTTCAGTTGTGGTATCGATGCTCTTTGCAATATAGCTTTATGACACAGCCGAAATAACTAGATAAGATTTTGTTTATTTAACTATAATATTTTTATACCCTGAACCCATTGAAAATGGGAAATCAGGGTATAATGGTT